TTGCCGCCCTTCTGCATCGAGATGATGCGCAGGTGGTCCTCCTCATTCACCCACACAAGGTAGGTCTTGGCGTCGTTGTGGTAGATGCCACGTCCCGTCGGCCAGAACTCACAGGCGTGCGCCGCCTGCAGGAAGCGGTCGCCCTCCTTGAACAGGAAATGGTCGTCAATCAGCTGCTTCTGTGTCTCCTTCGTCATGCCGGTCAGCGGGTAGTACTTTCCCCGCAGCTCGCCCGACATGCTTTCCAGCTGGCCCTTCACGCGCGACTCCATCTCCTCATACTGCTGCTTCTTGAGACAGGGATTGAACGGGTAGCCCTCAAGGCTCCGGCCGCAGCGCACGCGTGTGGAGATGACGTATTTTTTGTCAGGGTCCACGTCAATGAACGTGTTGAGATCACCAAAGTCCTTCGGGGGCTGCTTGTCGCTTGGCTTGAAGCCCTTGTGGTAGTCCTCGATGATCGGGTCGAAGAGGGCGGCGAACACGGTGTACGACTCGGCGTCGGGCGCGTACACGCCAATGCCAGAGTCCAGGTTCTCCACGCCCGACTGGATGACGTCCATGAGCGTGGCGCCCATTTTCGTCTGCTTCCCCTTCAGCTGGTCAAACACCTCCTTCGTGAGGTACTTCTTGAGGAGCGAGTGGCAGTCGCTTGCGTTCTGCAGTTTGGCGAACGCCGCCTCAAGTTTGCTGACAACTTCCGCGGAGGCCATCGTGACTGAATTGCTTGTTTTTGTGCCGAGTGAATGAATACAAAAAAACCTTGGAATGGCGCGGCACGTGTGAGTCGGAATGAGATGGAAAGAGAGCGACGGATGCAGCAGAAACAAAAGATCCCAACGGGAGCCAAGAAACACCAAAGGAACACACAGAAAGAGAGAGGGAGAGAGAGAGAGAGAGAAACAAGAACTCAACATGTGTGGACCAACACTTTTTTTCCCTCAAAAAGTGGTGTTGCATAGATTGTTGGTTCGCCTTCTCGTTTTTGTGTAATCTTCCCTTGCCCTCTTCTTTGGTGGATGCCATGAGCGTGTCGCCGCTTGCAAATTAATGTTCCAAAAAACAAAACAAAAACTGCTCTTTTTAAAGTAATTATTTTGTTTGCTTCCTTTTTTTCTTCGTCTGCGTTATGCGTCAGTTTCAGGGATTCTCTTGCCTCGTCGGACGCGGGTGGCGCCCCTCAACTCGTGCGTGGACGTCGAATGGGATGAAGGGGGAGAAAAGCAGTGCACGCTTGCCACCAGGAGATTCGATACGGCAGGGACCATCGCGCTCGGCCGCACCCCGCTCGTGTTTTTGGTGCTGTTCAACCGACCGGTTGACCCACCGCATCAGAGCTTCCACCTTCGCTGCGGCGGTCGGGTACATCCTTCTATCATGTTCGGTGCAGAGCGAGAAGGCAGTGAGGGCAACGCGCACAAAGGCCTCCACAAAAGGGAGAAATGAAAGCACTGCGCCACCGCAAGCGTACATCTTCTCCACGTCTTGGAAAATGGGAGGGGCAAAAGACAGCACAGGCTGTGGCTGTTGCTGCTGGAAGAGAGGTGTGAGCAGGGCGTCAACGTAGGCGCGCCGCAGCAGGGACTTGCCCATGAGGGTCGGGAAGACGTCCAACGCATGAAATAATTTATGAAACATGCTGTATGACATCCCGTAAGCGAATTCCGTTGACGTGTGTCCTCTGGTGTCCGCGGGGAGCAGCACGTCACGGAGCCGCCGCTGCCTGTGTGACTCGTCGCCCTCTGTAGTCTTACACGACGAGCGTCGATGGCGTAATGTTTTCCTGCTGAAAGCCTCGAACAATCGCTGCAGGCTCTTTTCGTTGCGCACCAGCACGCACAGAACATCGTCAGCCGCTATGAATCCTCTCCCCTCGTTCTGTGCTTCCCCCACCGCCTGTCGCAGGTGAATGTTGACATTCCTCACCTGACGCACGGTGTCCTTGTACACCTCGACAACCTCCTCTTTGCTAAGTCCATCGATCGACGGAAGCATCGGGCGATCCACGTTGCTGCGGAGCCCTTCCTTCTGCCCGGTCTCGCACCGTCCCTGCCCTCGCATCCAGCAATGAAGGAGGAGAATGACGCGACAGAACAGGCTAAAGCCCATGATGGAAAGGACACGATAGCCATGTCGTCTCACGCACAGCCCATAAAGCACCTCCGCGGTGCGGCGCCAGTCTACCAAACCCGGCGCAGCGTCCTCACCGTTTTCATTGCTTTTCAAACCGGGAATCGTTCCAAACATGCAGGCAAAAGGGTTGGCCGAAGATGTTGCCCATAATGGACATGCTCCAAAGTACTCTGTGTGCGAGAGAAAGCGCCAGAAACTTATTAAGGAAAGTGAATACGACATGTTCACATCATCCGGTCTCTCCGTACCTCCCAGGGGGTATAATTCTGTCGTGGTGGATGGTGCGGAGCTCTTGCGGGCGTAGTGCGCGTAGACATAGAAGAGCTGTCGCATTGCCTCATCCAAGGGACCACGTTTTGCGGATGGCGCTAAGAATTGAACCCGGGACGAGACGCCACTGCGCGCTAACAACGAAGATGACAACATCGTTGTGTGGTTGTTCTTCCGGTGAGGGTCATTACCACTTCCATGCGTTTTTGTCCCTCCCCTTGAAACAACACCGGTTTTTCCCATCATGCGAATAGACGATTTCTCATCAACGCATGTGTACTTTCTTAGCACTCCACTCGCTAGCAGCGCACATTCCTCTGGGAGAAGTGAGGTGACGTTGGTGGAATCCAGGTCGATTGCTTTCCCGTCACCTACACATTCCGTCCCATCGCACGGCACCAACAGCGAGACGGTGCCTTGCACTCCACTGCTGACAAGAAATGCGTGACGCAAAGAGTTATTGGATGTGACAAGGCGGCACGCCACAATATGTGAGCAGGCAAGCAATCCCCTAGAGAGGGAGGATAAAGTGAGACAATTGTGTGGCCCAATAAGAGTCTCCACCCCGCGCAAAGACAACATACGTAATGCCCCATGCTGACTGTCTGTAAACAACACACCATTTCCACCTGGAAGTAGCGCCAACGCGCTCGGCATACCCAATGAGGCCCGATGCGACTCCTTGGCATCAACATACGGCCCCATTTTGCCATACCGTCCTCCAGCAACAGTCCACACGCGAAGTTTGGCATGCGTCGTGGGTTCCTCTGAAGATGCCACGGGCATGTTCAGTTGTGCAACAGTTTGAAATACATCTCCCTCTTTTTCCCTCTCCACAGCCGTCACTGTATTCTTCTTCTTCCTTTTTAGTCCAGTAATAAGTCGAATGGCGCCGTTGGGCTTGTCGAGGAACAACAGTCCTGAAGTACACCACACAAGGGCCGCGGCGTCGTGCAGGCGCGACACGCGATAATCGCCATCGCGGTAGCCCGGGACGCCGTCAATGCCCAAAATGGTACGAACCAATCTGTTTTGAAAGTCAACGTATCGAACAGCGTGGTTTCCGCGATCACTGACAAATAATACATCACCACGAAAAGTATCTCGCCCCGCATGCGGTTGCCTGGGCCCCCCACCATCTTCCTCTCCAGCAAAATCATCGTCCATACGCCAACAAAGTGCGGAGGGAGAAGCAAAGCGAGCCATGTGAAAAGGTCCGTCCACAAATCCCTCTATGCCACCTAATAAAGCCCCTGGCTTCAATGCACCGTCTGAACATTGATGCTGTTGCTGCGCCTTGGCATCAGCTGCGGTTGCAACTTCAACGCCTCCCTCATTTCCCCAATAAAGGGATGGCGGTACAACGCGAACTGTTAACTTTCCAGTGTCCACTTCCGCTGCCCAAATAGCATGCGTTGCTGCGTCAGCAAATAGAAAAGAATGCAATTGGCCTGGGCGAGATGGCAATGATTTTATTGAAGACGTGCCATGTACAGCATCATCAGCCATCGGGACTGGTTCTGTGGCTAAGCCCATCGGTACAGAAGGGCGCGCAGCAAAGTCTGCTTTTCCCTCACGCAAGTGATCACTGCAACTCGAGCCAGCACTTGTCTCCATCGCCACTGGTGCAGGGAATGCTCTTCCACTCTGTGGTAAGAAGGGCACATTATAGTTCTGCACGCATCCCGATATGACGGCGATTGGAAGGCGACTGGGCAGAGAAGTTGGGGGATCATCCGGGCACAAACGCACGACGTACACAGTTGAGCCGCCGTCCCTTTGACTTTTATCCGAGCCACAGGCCACAAGAAGATGAGTTCCGTCAATCGGAAGCGTGAACAGGACAGGGCCCGGCTGACAACAATGCCTCACCGTCTTCCCCTCCGCGGTGAGAGGTACCTGAAAAAGAATTCGGCTCATAAACGCCATCCCCATGTTATGTGGCCTCACGGCGAGTGGTACGGCTCTTGTCGCGGTGGTGTGAACTTGACACACAACGTCACTGCCGCTACAGCGCTCTGTTGTCGTGCCGGTTTTACCCCCCATCTTTACGGAGGGCAATGAGCGTTACCCACGCTCGTTTCTACAGGCAAACCACGTCAAAGAGGCCATGGATGGTAAATAAGATAAGAAAGGAATAGAAGAAGGAGAATAAAACAAAATAAAAGATATATATATATATAAAGAGAAACACACACACACACAAACAAAAATACACATCGTGCCACATGGACTTGTACAATAATAATAATAATAATAACAAAAAAGGAGACGTATTGTGTGAAGGCCAAATGCAAACAACAAATTCAAAGTGAAGAAGAAAAAAAAAAAAAAAAAGGAAAAATAATGGAGGGAACGCACCACCGCATGGCTCTAAAACCAAAACACACACATAAAAGAAATCATTAAACGTCCAGGTCTGCGCTCCCACACCACAATTTGAGGAAGCAGTCAAAAATATCCTTAAAGAAATATCCTTCTTTATTTATATATATTATATATTATATATATATATATATGTCCCCTCTCCCTTTCTTCATCCCTCCTCTTTTTTTATTTGTTAAACTCGTCGCGTCACTCCATTTCCCTCCCGCACCACGCCATATTTCTAGCGGTTTTCACCCTCGTCAGCCAATGCGTTTAAATGCAGCCTTTCCGCAACCTGCATGACATCCACGTCACTGTCGTGCTGCAGCCGCTCGGCGCACTGGCGGAGGATATCCCGGTGGACGCCGCACACCCTGTACCAATGCCAGTGCTCTACCAAAGAATTGGCAACTGCCAGTCGCACATTTGAAACGTTGTCCTCGGAAAAGGCTCGCAACAAGCGTATCCATTGCTGCAGGAGCTCCTGGCGGCGCAGATCCATTGGCGAGAGGCCACTCACCACTGGGAGAATACCAGAGAGGGACTGAATCGCCACCACCCTCCACATATATGGCGTGCGGGATTTAAACGCGAATTCCTTCTGAAAAAGTTCAAATGTCATGAGAGCTGCCCATTCAGGGCCATACGCGTTCGCCACCGCCGATAATGTCTCCACCGCACTTGCCCGCACGGCACTGACGGGGTCCCGAAGCAGAGAACGAATAATGTACACAAGCGGCATAAATTCTTCTTCTGTGAGAGCGGCAGAGAAGTGGCGAATAGAAATAACAACTGCCTCACGAGTACGCCAGTTCTTTGAATCACTGACAATATGTAACTGATTAATAATTCCAGAAAGGACGAGTGCGGCACGCTCCTTCTGTTTCTCACTGACAGACCCCACGGGCGCCGGTATAAGAGTACCAATGCCTGCATGAGCGGAAGAAGGAAGGCTCATGGCCCTTTTGCTACGTCTCCCTCGCCGATTCATCAATGGCACAGACAACGTATTTCTTCTCTCACTATTTCCAGCATTCTTGCCGGGCCTCAGATATTTGCCAAGATTGGCTGCGACAAGCTCCAGGTTACGCATGGCACTTCGCCCAACGACGTAGTTCTCGTCCGTTAACAGAGCAAAAAGGGCTTGCTGTTGCTTCGGTGTATAATCCACAACGTTGTTAGGGGAAAGAAGCACGTAAAAAATATTTGCAACTCTTTCCCGAACAACAGGTTCCTTGTCTTTTGCGAGAGGTGCAACCGCTAGACACATTTTAGCCAATACCTCTTTTGAAACTACATGAAGAAAAAGGATACCAAGCTGCTCCACCACAACAGCACGTGTCTCTTTCATTTCGTCCGCGCAGAGCGCAACAAAGACGTCTAAAAGATCATCCGGATGAGTACAAAGACGAGAAAAACTACCAAGATGCTTTGCGGCAATGTGTCGCACACGCCAACTGGTATCTTTGCTTGCTGCAATAAAAGAAAACTGCAGGTATTTTGCTGTTGCCTCTTTCCCTATGCATTCTGCAAGACGCACCAGCTCAGCGACATGCAAATAACGAACCGCGTCACTTTTTTCTTCCGTCATACACTCGTAAACTAAGGGGATTGGCATTTCGGCAATATTCACTTGATGTGCCTCCGCCACAGCCACCCATTGATGCAAGGAACTCACCGCCATTTCCTGCACAAATTGAC